AGTGTAAAAGGACAGAATTTCATTAAGGAAACTTTTGCTTGTTTGCTGTTTGATTTTTATTTCGTGCTTGACTTTTGTTAGCACCTTGGCCAATTTCCATGTAACAGCCTGTCTTGTGATCAGCTCCTTTGTTCTGTTTTGTATAATTGTCCTAATTATCTTAATTGCTGTTGAGTAAAATATTTGTTGGCTTTTGTGAGTAATTCAGTCGTTTAATTTAGTCGCTAAGGTTTAGACGTGATTTCAGATGTTCGGATAGCCGTTGTTATTTCAAGAAGTTTGAAGCATACCAGTTTTGCCGAAGTGACCCGTTTAGTCGTTGTTGAATTAGATGAAACTATAGGAACCGTCGAGCCAAGAAATCAGAACACGCTTATTGAATTTTGTACTTTCTTTTACTGCCGAATCTGCGAACACAAGCCTGTAAAACCCTCGTAAACTCAGTGGTTTTACATTGGTGACCACGACGTGACCGGAGAAATTGGTAAAAAAGAAAGCTGGTATTTTAGAAGAAATATGTCGAATTTTAATCGTAGAAATGACTTGCTATATTTGCGTGCAACAGACGGTCGTCCAGTCTGCAACTACTGTAAAATGGTTGGACATGTTGTCAAGTACTGTCGCAGTCGCCCGTTTATTCATCCACCAAAAGCTTATCGCACGAATGGATTTCCTCGTTGGTTTTCTACCAAATTTAGCCAATATAACGACGCACAATTTGAGGAAGAATTCCAGCACATCTGCAAACTAATTGAAAACTTGAAATGTATTTTACGTCAAGTAGAAGAGATAATGCACAGAAAAAGGGAAAATGTTGCGAGACAAGATAGGGGACAAAAAAAGTTTGAATTTGAAAATAATGAAATCGCACCCAATGAACAGGAAGATTGTGTCATGCCAGAACAGTCGATTTATAAAGGAGATGCAAATAGGGGAGGCAGCTATTACCAAAGAGCAGGGGAAGCAAACAAGATTGTCAGGAAACATAGCACGCCAAGCGGTACCAAACAATTTTGGAATGGAGTCACTTGAAGCAAGCGAGGACGCTTGTCCTTGAAGGGGAGAGTTATGTAAAAGGACAGAATTTCGTTAAGGAAACTTTTGCTTGTTTGCTGTTTGAATTTCATTTGCGTGCTTGACTTTTGTTAGCACTTTGGCCAATTTCCATGTAACAGCCTGTCTTGTGATCAGCTCCTTTGTTCTGTTTTGTATAACTGTCCTAATTATCTTAATTGCTGTTGAGTAAAATATTTGTTGGCTTTTGTGAGTAATTCAGTCGTTTAATTAAGTCGCTAAGGTTTAGACGTGATTTCAGATGTTCGGATAGCCGTTGTTATTTCAAGAAGTTTGAAGCATACCAGTTTTGCCGAAGTGACCCGTTTAGTCGTTGTTGAATTAGATGAAACTATAGGAACCGTCGAGCCAAGAAATCAGAACACGCTTATTGAATTTTGTACTTTCTTTTACTGCTGAATCTGCGAACACAAGCCTGTAAAACCCTCGTAAACCCAGTGGTTTTACAGCAGTGGTAGAGGAGGGAAGGGTGGCGAATGAGAGAGGGTGGGTGGTAATGGTGGAGTGAAAATGTAATGAGGATGAAGTACTATAATATGAAATAATGATAATGTTGCTGTAAGGTTAACGGTCAGTGGTTCTGTTCATGCCAATCGGTGCGAGAGTGATTGCCAGGCCAATGAGGTATTGCTCTTTGGCTCGTCGAACACTCTATCGTTTGTCGTTGAGTTGCAGTAATAGTAAAGTCATTGATGGTATGTTCTGGGCTGCAGAAGTGTTCTGCAACACCAGATTTGTCTACTTTTTTGTTGATAATGTCTCGTCTGTGTTCGTTAAATCTGTCTTTCAGTCGTCTGCTTGTTTGTCCGATGTATTGGCAGTTCTTGTGTCCGTTTGTTTTATGTCGTAGTTTTTGTCAGTGTTAGTAAAGTTAAAAGTAGTAGTACCGTCTGTGATACGGTGGCATCAGTGGCGTAGCGTCCGGGTATTCAAGGTATTTAGTGAATACCCTGAGATTTCTCAGAAGAAAATATTAATACGACGTATAATTGTAATAGCTAGAAAATATTTTGGGGCTATTGATTCTGGTTGAATTCGTTACCTTCGATATTCTACTTTTTGTACAAGCACAAAATATCACGAAATTTATGGAAAAAATAACGCTGTGACACATAGAGAAGCTGGGAGATCTTTAAAGCTAATTTTGAAGACTGAGCTACTTCATGTTGAATGGAGGTCGCAGTGAATACCCTACACGGTACTTTAACCAATCAAAATGCTCCTTTTCATGAATAATATTTGCCGTTAAATGGTCCTGTACGCTGAGAAATATGCAGCGTACAGCCTCAAAGTTGGTTCAAAATAGTCTCGTTTTGAGATCGATGTAAACAGTTAATGGACATAGGAGCGGTAGGAGTGATTGATCTTCATGGAAAACAGTAAACATGACTTCATTCAAAAGCTATTGCAATGTCCGTATTACTGTTTTAAAAACATTCTCTCGTTTGACCCCTAATCTTTATCTAACAACAGCAAAGTGGAAAGGAAAGGTAGGCTTCTACATAATACCACACTGACTAAGATCTGTGCCCCCTCTTGAAATGCCAATTTTGTTATTGCTTGTCATAGCTCAATTCTAACATAAGACTGAAATCAACAGCATTTAAAAGGCTTTTCAAACGTTGGCTCGGGTCTCGTGGGTAAATGCGTCACTGCTTGAAAAACAAAATTTCACTGTTAAAAAACATAATATCTATTAATATTGTCCTATTTGATAAATTTTATTCACAATTGTAATTCAAATCAGAGTTTTTTGATTGCTATGTTTGCTTTGATAATAATTTGACAAAGTAGCAATTCGGCAAATACTCCTATTTCCAGATAGGTTAGTGCTGTACTACTTCACCGAACTATTATTGCAAGCATATGTATTTTAGTATATATGTCTAATACTCACCTTTAGTTCCAGATAGAAAACTTTGAATTTAGGGAAAATTGGGGAGGGAAGAGGTCGTGCTAAATCTCTAGTGACAGACGTTGGGAAAAGAAATAATGGGTGACATCGAGTTTCAGGTAACAGATCGAATAGCAGGAAGCTTTTGTATTGATTGGGATAATTTTATTTCCTGAACAGAAAGCTTCCTTGTCTCAAAAGGCCATTGCAATTATACAGAAAGTGATTTACTGAGTTACCGCAAATAATAGACAAATAATAGAAATATACGTAAATATGTTTGTAAGGAGATCAAACGAAATCAATCAGTATAAAAATAGTTGTTTCTCTTTCTATTTCCAAAACTGTTGTAAAAAGTAAAAGAAAGAACGGTAGAATAACTCTTATCTTGAGAAAGGTGAGCCCCCTAGCCCCCTCCCCCCAGTGGCACCGTGTCTGGGTAAATTCTTTTTTGTTATCCCTAGCCTTGTTTTTGCTATTTGCATGTCATTTTTTATTTTAGCTTCATGTTTACAATATTCATAAGTCAAAAGGTATTAAGAAGGTCACAAAACTGCGGGTAAATTTCAGCCCACGAGCAAAGGATTCGACTTAGCATAGACTAGATCTTTTTTGTGAGCCAAGTGCCAAGTGCCACTAATGACAATTTGCTGACCATGGTACAACCATTGTTTAACATGGTTTTGCCATAGTCTTTTCACAGGGGTGACTACCGCTCAGTTCAGCTCGAATCTACTCTACACCGACTCAACCTCCCTAGCTTTTAGCTAGCAAGCCATTATTTCATCATCCACCCATGCTAGCCTTTTATTTGCAAGCATGTGACTCGACCAATTGGCACGCAATTTCCATAGCGATAAGGATTAAAAAGTATTTCTAGTCTCTGTGGCAATTCCAGGCATGTTTCTAGAAAGGAATGCTTGGTTTGCAGCGCGATCAAATGTTTTCAATTTTTAACTATGGTTTATTCAAAGTAGTAGGATAAACATGAAAATGATCCTTGTTTTTATAAATTTTTGAATAATATGACTACCGCTCGAGCGGTAATGGCGGTAGTCTGGATCCATTTCATTTAATTTCATTCCATTTTGATAATTCAAACTTTTAATTACAATATACTGATAATACGATTTAATATTAATTTGGTAAGCTTAGGACACTTGGAAAAAACTCAGAAGAGCTATCGAGCCAAGTGCCCTTGAAAATTTAAAAAATTTATATAGCCCACTTACTTACTTCCCAGGGAGGGGCCGAGCACCCAAATTTTAAGCCCTGAAGACCCCCCTCCCAAGTCTGCACCTATGTTGCATAGTAAATTCCATATCCATTGACTCGCCTGGATGACTCAATCTGTACGAAAGCAATATTTATCTCTCCTTGTGTCCGCGTTTCCGCTTCTGGATGTTTTACATACTGACATAGTACGTTTCCTGTGATACTTTGGTCTAGTTGAGAGGCAGGACATTCTGCGCGTCCATTGACTTGTATTTACATTACAACCGACTTACAGGTACTTCGTACGTATTTCGACTGAATTGGGCTACTGTTGTTACCAAAGGTGTTCTACTACTGACTAAATTAGAAGTCAACAAAAATTGTTTCTTGGCCACAAAATGTTGTCTTTGAAATCACTCACGGTGGCCTAAGAAAACGCGAAGTGAAAGAAAACAGTGACTTAAAATGAAACCGGATAGGCCGATAGCTGTCTTCATACAACTCATCGTTGCGGCGCTATGGATTGGAAAGCCGATTGACATGTTAGAGCAGAAGATCCAAATGGTTCCTAAATTCTCGTTTTTGATGCCAGCCATTGTATGGGACCCGAGGAACCCGTTGTAAGTAAAGCTTACTTGGCTAACCTTGGCTCCGTTGGCGGATTCCTCTTTCGTATGATTCAATGTTGCTTGGCCAAACGTATTGGGGAAGAAATAAATAATTCACGAGTCTGATAAAGGGCGTATTTCTTCATCATATTTGTTCTTCATCATATTTGTTCTTCATCAGGAAAGCTTGCTAAAAGCAAATCGCAGAATGTGAATCTTGACGAAACCAAAAAATATTTGAGCATCCGCAACCGGAAGAAAATTTGCAGTGGATGCCCTAGAATCGAATTATTTTGGTATTTTATCAAAGTTCAGGAACTATGCACTGAAAGAAATTCGAATCTACTTTTATTATGCTATTTGTATTCCCACATCCCCACATACAAAATTTAAGGTATTAAAAGTTGGGATGGTGCCTATCCCATTGAGACACCTTCCAAATTTTGAGGAACTTTTATGCAATGAATTTTGAAAGACACCTATATTATGTGGGTATTGACATTGTAAGTTGTATAAGTATTTATACTTATAAGTAAAAAAAGTATAACGAGTATAGCAATATATAAAGCAAAAGTTGAAAACATAAGTACAAGTATCAGTGTTGTTAATGAGAAAAACAGGTAGCTGCTTTTCAGAGAGGGTCAAAATGGGGGTGTGTGCGGTTTGTCCCTAGGGTCATTCACATTGTATGTATGCGAAAATTTTTATATTTTCAATCCTCTTCCCTCTTGGATGTAGTCATACTTCTTTGTTGACCCCTGCCACCTTTGCATACATACTTTTTGAGTTTAACCCCTCCCCCAATTCTGCCGAATACATAAATTAATCTATATTAAAGTATTAAGCAAGACAACACTGCAAAAGAATTGTTGCTGTAACAAAAGCAGTTACACAAAAGACAATACTCAAATGTTTATTCTAGCGTTCTTAATGAGTGCCCATAATTGTGGCAACGAATTTGTACCTTGTTGCGCAAATGATCTGTATCACACTCCACACAGTTGTAGCTTTAAATTCCATAATCAATCCTTTTTCGAAAGAACGCTATATAACAAATATTTTGCATATGCCCCCTTCCCCATATTCATTTTGATGAGCCACACTCTCATCTGTTCATAATCATAATATGTGAATGGCCCCCTCACAACTTCACACTTTATAGCTTAATCTGCCCTCATACATCTCTATTATCAATTGTCTTTTTAGATTCAATTGCCCGAGTAGAGGCATCAACACAATTAATGTAAGGATGAATGACTATGTCATATTTGGATGTCCTGCAGAAGGAAAAAACCTTGAGTGGTTTGACAGTGCAAGCACCTTACACTCAGAGATGTATGAAAATGGATTTCTTACAGAGAATAAAACACTTTTAGATCAATGCAATGCTACAAGTGAGTTTAATAAATTTCCTTTGGTGTTTTGCATTACAGAACCTCCGTTTTGCAAGTAGCAGTGGAGAAAGTGATAAGATTTCTTTATAACAACAACAAAAATAACATGCAATTCACATCTTTGTTTTTCAGTATTTATTAATGAATTAAATCTGTCAAGCTTCTTTACTTCAAATGCTTGTTTTCGTTGTCTGCAGGTTTTAGCAAGAAGTTTTTGAATTGCAATAATCCAAAGTCCCCAATATTTCGCACTATTAGAGTGGCTCAGATGGTAGCAAGTGATGATGAACCGATTTTTGCTTACAACAAAGAATATTATTTGTTTGGTATGTATACTCACTTACATATATTATAAATTTTGATTAGGAATGCTGTGTGCAAATAAGCCTTTGGTACTGTATTATTTGAAAACGACACTGGATTGAGGAAACATGTTGTAGTGTAGTACTGTTTGTCTGGCACTGAGTACTGAGTAGGATCATGTACATAGGTAAGCAGAGAAAGTAAGCCCTGACGCATTGAAAGACATATGAGAGGAAGGACGGCATGTTAAATTGGTTCTTGCCCAATACTTTTGTTGTATTTTACCAATGGCAGTTGCTAACCTCTCAACTATTTGAAAGGCCCAAGAGAGAAAACAAACTCTTTCTCTGTACAGCCAAACTTGACTCCTATGTTTTGATGTAGATCAGGGTTGCCAGATAGAATTTACAGAAGAAGGTCAGACAGACTCGAGCCAAAATGCTCATTATTAAGGGCAAATGTAAAAATCCTCTACAAAAACACTGCGCAAGCGTAGTAAATTTTCCAAGCATGTGCCTGCTTTTCAAATTATTTTCCAAACTCAAATCAACTTTCTCCTAAAATAACTGCCCTTTTTATTATTAAACTTGGTGATAACAATTGTTTGGATTTTTACTAAGTTTTATATATAATAATGAAATGTCTACAAAATCTCAGCTAAAAAGGCCACATTTAATTGATTGGCCAAGAACAAACTTTCCTGACAATTTAAATCTGAATGAGGCCAATCCTGAGACAGATTTCGAAACACCAAAATAAAAAGACAGCTTTCCTTGCTCAATGCTTAGTCAAAATTGTCATCACTAATGTTTAGGCACACTTATAATTTGTAAGTAAATGATGGCCTTTAGCTGTGTTGAATTTGTTTTGACATTCTGATTTTTGCAAAAACACAGAGGCTGTTCTCTTTTTAGAACTGTTTTGCTGGATGCTTGCGGACATGTCATTTTGTTCCATCTACTAAACACTATCTAGAGCCCCCTACATATAAAACTATATACAGGGAACCAATCATATGTGCCATTCTTCAGGCCTGGCCATTAGACTTTTAAAAGGGGAGCAGTAAACAGCTCTCCTAGTAGTATTCAGGTGAGCTATATAAATAGAAACAAAGGAAAAATTGATTTCAAGGAGAGCAAGTTTGCTTTTTAGAACAATTTAGGAGAGCAATCTCTAGCTCCCCTCCAGCGTTTGAGGAGAGCCTGGAGAGGAGCAAGAGCTATGGCTCTCCTCAAATGGCAAGGCCTGATTCTTCCTATAACCTTACTTTCAATTTGCATGTGGATGTGAATTTTCTGCTTTATACTCTGTGGGGACTGTGGTACGAGATGAAAAGCTTCGGCATGATATGTTTCTGCTTTTACATGCAGAATTTTTTCAAAAATAGTATGCCTATTCAAGAATCTGTCCATTGTCTCCATTATCTAGAGTATATCGGGCTCAGTGCATTTGTTTTGTCTACAAGTCAAAGAGATTTACGAACCAGAAGAATCTCGATATCTTTTTCCCAGAGCTAGGAAAGGAGATTGTAAATAAAAATACTTGATAATTGAAAATACCACCTGTATAAAGAATGTAAAGGTTTTATTTGATTGCTTTGTCAGTCAAGGAACATGTTATAAACTGTTGAGACCATCCCCTAAACACATGCCCAGCAGCATGCATGTATAGTCCAGGCTCTACCCCCTCCATGATTTAAGGTATGCCATTGAATAGCTGAGACATCAACACTGAGCTTGGGCGTCTGTCCAAGATTGTAGAGGCTTGACTTTTAAATGTAACTGAACTTTAACTTCAATTCCAGGCACAGGAACAGGACGGGTTGGTGATATCGATCAAAGACAGGGTGGTCGATGTGCTGGTCAAGACAATTCAGGTTATCCCATTCACAAATTGAGGCTAAAGTTAAAAGTTTGTGCAGAGGGTGAAGATGGAACTGCTAAATGCCCCATATGTTTGACAGCTGCTTGTTACAATAATGGTAGGCTGCTAATTTTGCACATTGCCACATAATGTGCTCACATAATGTTTAAACTTTGCACCAAAAAAAAGTTTCAATTTTAAGGAATTATGCAAAAAGATCGTTTGACAGTAATTTAGAAGTAATTTATTACTCAATCATGTTACTGTAAGAGGAAAGGCAAATCAATTAATCTGTTATCTTCTAAAAAATAGGATATTTGGTAAATGAATATTCAGTATTAAAGTTTAAAGTAAAAGTTGTTTGCATAAGCTAACGAGTAAGAGCTTGACCACCATGTTTTTTGCTAACTTCCCTAGAACGAGGCTGGACAGAGGTTACATACATCATTACTAACAATACATTTTTAAGTGCTATTTCAAATATTCAGAAAATTTTGAAAGATCTATTTATTATTTCATACTGAAATTTTACTCTTTGAACAAAATTTCACTGCTGATACAAATATGTTTTGCCATTCTATGCTTTCTGGTTTTGATATTACAGGCCTCTCCGTGAGCATTTTAGCGGGCGCGTGCTCAAACGCGCGCTTCGCTTTGCTAAGGCGCGCGCTTTATCAAAAAAATATATTTACGTTAAAGTAGGCAAAAACGGCACGTTTTCGCATGTAAATGCTTTGTATCTAGAAATATCTAAACAAACTCCTTAATAGAGCACTAAAAGCAAAAAAAACACATTATTGTTGCAGTTCGACAATGTCCAGCTCAAATTCCGATGAAAAATCGGAGTCAGAAGAAGTGGAAGAATCAAAATTCGTTCCATTGACGTACGATTCAATTGCTTTCCTGGCACTTCCTTTACAAAGAGGATTTGATAAAATAACGCTTTTGTGTTTTGAGCAAACTTTACACCAAATCGAAATTATCATTGTCTTCCCATTCCATTTTTCGGTCTTTGATCCGATAACTTCGTCCTTGCGATACTTGCGAAAAGTAGATAGCTCTATGGCTTGACCCTTTGAATTACTGGTCATTTAAAAACTTCTGTCGTGAAAAAGGAGCGAACAGAAGCACAAGTCTGTCTCCATGCACATGTATGAAAGAATGAATTAGTAAAGTTGCGTGACTGTGTTTGAATCCAATTATAACAATCAGGAATCACAATGACAGTTTATTGGTTATTGACCGGAAATATATTCAAGAGGTTTTTGCTTTAACTTGGCAATAACAATTTCCTCGACAGAGGTTCTTTGTATAATAACTATTCAAAATCAAAACACAAGGAGCGCGATTTAAAGGGTTCTTATAAACCAGGCGCGTGATTTATTGCGCGTCTCGGCAACGACGGGAGCGTGCCGTTAAACGGAGAGGCCTGATATTACTGTAGCTTTGTCAAGCCAATTATATTCAAATTATATCCAATTTTATATTCAAAAAGGAAGCTGTGTCATACAAAACCACTATATAGTCAATTCCTATACATACTGTCTTTCAACAAAAATGCCATTCTATGCTAGATACTAAGTAGTGTTCTATACATCTTCCATCCTTAACATATTTGTGTTCTGGGGGATGCGTCTGTGTTAAATGTCACATCAGCCAATATCTTCCAAACAGTAAAATATTGACAGACTGCCCTGCCCAAGGTCCAAATCATGAATTTCAAGTTGAAAGGGCCAAGTTCTATAAGTCAAACTTGAATTTAGTGCTTCAAAACAGGGCCTCTTTGGAAATATTTTTGCTTACCAGAAAAATGGGGGGGCATGGCCCATCTGCCTGCCCCTCCAGTGGTGTGGGCCCTGCTGTTCAGTCAAAGTGCTAGATAAATTTCTAGAACCCTCCAGAACCGAATGTTATTTTTGAACTTGTTTTGCAGGATGTGGAAATTATTCGGCTTGGAATAGAACACAAAAGTATGTTGTAAAAGGCAAAAGCTGTTTTGAAGTTTATAACCGAAAATGCGACAATGTTGGCGGATCCTGCGATGGCCCCTCTGAAAAACTTGTTCCAGCTAATGTCAGCTCTTGCATGGGTAGGTTTTAGAGCTAGGATCTGATCTTATGTGCCTCTTGTCCCATACTCTCAGTAGGAAACAGGAAATAACTTTTTGTTGGTCCATGATAGCTTGAAAGAAAACAATGGCATGTTTGATTTAGTTTTGTCATTTTTCAAACTTGGAAAAGTGAGCAAACCTGCCTCATTGTTTTAGGAACGTTTCAGGCTATGGCAAGGGATGCTAAACAAGCAAATGTTTATTCCTACAATAATGCTTGTAACCGGTTACTAAGTATACAAGGTACTTGTAACCGGTTATCTAGCATACAAGGTAGTTTTTGGTTGCATACAAAAATCCTTTGTACAAAAAAAAAAAGTGTACAACCAAAAAGTACCTTTTATGCTGCAATGTATTTTTTACTACAAAAAAGAAATGGTTTACTACAAAAAATGCATCGTGTAATACAAAAAATGCATTGTGTACTACAAAAATACATTGAGTACAAGCAAAAAGTATCTTCTATTCTAAAAAAAACATTTTTGCTACAAATAATACATTGTTTACTACAAAAAATACATTGTGTAGTACAATAATACGTTGTGTACAACCAAAAGGTACCTTGTATGCTACAAGAAATATATTGCACACTACAAACTTTGAACTACAAAAATTACATTCTATACTACAGAATTCCAAGCTTGCCCAAAAAGAGGAATCACGTCTTCAAACAACATGGCTCGTTGTCCTTTTCTAGCTCGATTGCATTGGAAATTTTGTTTTAATTTTGATAATATTTTTACTTTGATAGTGGCAGAAAGGAGTTTTGTTAGCAACAACAATACATGCTATTCAGTACTCTCAAACTTCTGTGATGAAGTGAGCTCTGGCTTTGATTCGGCGAATATTACGAAATGCAATTCTACTCAAATCTGGACGAAAGCTGAAACAAATAAGTGCAAGAAAAGTATGTTTATCATCTCAATCACGGAGTGAATGTATTTTTATTTGAGCGTTAGTCAGAAAGATGTTTTGTTTTAACAGCCAAACTTTTGGATAGAGCGTAGAAATACCCGTACACCTTCTCTGTTGAGCAACGACAAAAATTAAGCGAAAAAGCAACCAAATGTTAGTGCAATTTTGATATTTTAGCGATTTTCTAGGAAAAAATTCCCAATTTAAATTATATACCTTCATGCACTTGTTCGTGTGGATAAAATATTCGACTTTTATTGAAACATTAATTTCCAGCCTTAGAGCATCCTTTTTTATTTGTTTACAGTTGAAAAGGACTCTGCCTACAATACTAGTTACCAGCTCACCCAGATGGTTATTTTTTCCCATTCAGGTACTCAACATGGTCCAGATTCTATGAGTTTGAAAGGAGAAGAAAATGGAGTCGTTTCTGTGGTCTTACTCGTTTTTGTAGTTTGTCTCATTTCGCCATTAATCATTGGCATCGCAATTGGTTTGTGCCTTGGTTGGGTACTGGCAAGAAAAAAGTTTCGAAGGACCCATTTTATAGAGGAGCATCGGCTAACATCATCTAGGTAAGTTCCTTTGTTTCAATATTTTTTGTTTGTCATACTGTCAATAATATTTAAAACAACTTTTTCATCATCATCATTCTTTTCATTCAAAAAAATTTTTTTTACCGTAACTTGCTGCATAACTCATCATTTGCTAGCATATCTCAATTTTTGCTTTTAGCTTGTCTTTGAAAGTGACCTTTTCCCATTTTGATACAATTATTACATAAAAATCGTTAGCTCCTTCAGATGGTTAATTAGTCAGTTTCCTTTTCAATTGATAGTTCATGAATCATGAAACTATTCAAAGATGAACAAGCAGTTTAACAAGTTATACATAGACATTGCACACGGCTTTTGCACAATAGCAACTGAAATGCATTTACTTGGTATCTTTTTTAATGAACATAATTATCTTTCTTTTCAGCAAAAAGCTTTGCGTTTAGCAAATGGACCCAATACCCGAAATCACACATACATGTATTTCGGTATATTAATTCGTGGTTAATTATTGAATGGTTTATTGTGCTTTCGATTGGTTAATTTTCTAGCTTTGCAATGTAGATAATCGTTAATTTGCTGTAAATTACTTAGTGTAAATTATCTTCTGTACATTTTGCTTTATTGAAAAGTACTGATGGTGAACGTGTTGACCGTCTGAAATGTATAGTTTTCTAACACAAGCAAGATGTTATGATACAAGTTGGAGAGCTAAATTTGCTACTTTAAAACAACATGTCATAGAAATATGTGGATGAGTCGTGATCGTACATCCCTCTCTCATCGAGAGTGAGTTAGACAATTGGTGCATCAGAGCAAATCGCTCAAACCTCTAACAGGAAAATGAGACTAACTTAAGTTACGCAATAACTCCAATCGTAATTAATTTCTGGAAGGGAAAAGGTTTGTAAATCCTTTTTCCCACTGAGCCGATGCACCAGTCCTATCTGAAAAGCATCGAAACCTCAAAAGATTGATAGATGCCCAAATATAAAAGAAACGTTCACGATACAGGATAAACGAAACTGTGAATGCCAGGGTTTTACCAAAAATGCAAATATTCTTATAAAGAAACAGAATGAGAGTGTATAATAGGTCTAGTTGTACCAAGATTACTTTGAGTAGTCTTTAAAATGAAGATCAAGACAGAAATATCGTGCGAAAATATAAACCATAGAGATGATATAAACTGACTGATCATTCATAATTAAACAAAGGCTATATATATGTGAAATTGAGGTTAGCATGAAATTGAGACCAAAAGTCACACCAGCATTGCACTTAAAACATGCAAGAGTAACACATCCCAAGAATACATCACAATTAGCAAACAATAACGTTTCAAATGAGTTAACTAAAGGAGAAACGCTCCTCGTGAATTTAACTCGGTGTTTTAAATTTCTTTTTATCTTTGGTGATTTCATTATAAATCTTCTGAATTATAACTATGACACAACCACCACTATGTCAATTTCCTCTTTTCAAAGTAATTTCATCCATATATTCTTCATCCCTCTCGAATATCTGGATATTCTTCCACTCTTATTGACAATATCCTTTCTAACATCTCTGACAACGAAGCCTTAAGTGGTAACATTATGACTCAAATAACAGATCATTTCCCTCAATTTTTAATTGTTAAGCATGCAGGCATCTCCTATAAGAATTTGTCATCATGATTTTTCTAACCTCAATGAAGAACATCTGCTAACTGATTTTGCAAACCTTGACCTTTCCTGCTTGCATAACAGTGCTTTAGATGTGAATGCTAAGTTCAACAGATTCCTAAACACAGCCTTGAAGAATTATTCAAAACCCATGCTCCATTAAAAAAACTCACAAAAAGAGATATCAAATTCAGGAATAAACCATGGATTAATGGAAAAATTCAAAAAATGATGCGCATCAGAGACCGGATTCTTAAACAGACTTAAAAGAAAAACAATCGATCTCTCATAGCTCTATATAAACATTTTAGAAACCGGGTGGCGGTTACCTTGAGAGAAAGTAAAGCCAGTTATTTCTACAACTACTTTTATAAAAACAGTAGCAACATGAAACAACTATGGTCAGGAATTAAGTCAGTTATAAGTATAAGAAAATCAAGCAACGTAAATGTGATAGGTAAGCTCAAAGATTCAAATGGTAATCTTACAACAGATCAAGCAGTTATTGCAAACATTTTTAATTTAAAATCCTTTGTTAATGTCTCTCATAATATCACTAAAAACATATCTAGATCAAAGAATTCACCTATGATTTCATGAGTGACAAAGTCGGAAATTCTTTTTTCATGGCAGCTTCAATACCTTCTGAAATATCTGCTGTAATATCTCACCTAAAGTCTGGAAAGTCTCTTGGTTCTAACAGCGTCTCAATGAAAATTTTAAAACCTCTTTCTCCATTGATATCTTCTCCTCTGTCTTAAATTATAAATGAGTCATTTCAATTTGGGATATTCCCTGATAAGATGAAAATGGCCAAGGTAATTCCACTTTTTAAGAAAGGCTGTCCGTTAACAGCGTCCAATTACAGACCAATTTCTCTTCTCTCTGTTTTCAGTAAAATTATGGAAAAGGTCATGTACGAACGTTTCTATAAATTTACTAGTCTTGTATACCTTACAATTTGGTTTTCATGCTAGCAATTCCATTAACCATGCCCTGGTTAGTTTGACAGAAGCAATAAACAATTCACTAGACAATAGAAAGTTTGGCTGCGGAATATTAATTAATTTGCAAAAGGCATTTGACACTGAATCATAACATTCTATCAATGAAGCTAGAACACTATGGAGTTAGGGGCACTTCTTTAGATTGGTTTAAATTCTATCTCTGATAGGAAGCAATTGTCTCACTAAATGGTTCTAATTCCAATCAGGTCAGTGTCTCGTGCGGAGTTCCACAGGGTTCCGTCCTTGGACCCCTTCTTTTCTTAATTTACTTAAATGACTTGCCTCTTTCATCCTCAAAATTAACCTTCTACTTATTTGCTGATGATACAAACATAAATTATGAAGCTGCAAGTCTTAATCAGCTTCAATGTTTAGTTAATAAGGAAATGAAAAAAGTGAAGATGTGGCTTGATGTTAACAAATTGTCATTGAATGTTGATAAAACCAATTTTGTAATTTTTAAGTCTCCTCAGCATTCTTGTCCTGAAACTGTCAGTATCAAAATTGGAAACCTTCCCATCAAACAAACATGTTACGTCCAATTTCTTGGTGTTCTTTTAGATGAAAATCTGTCATGGAAATATCACTGATCAGAATTGTATAAGATATTAGCTAGAACTTGTGATATGTTTTTCAAAGTAAGACACTCTTTACCTTTAAGTGTTTTGATCTGTCTTTACAACTCTCTGTTTTCACCTTTTCTCCAATATAGAATTTTAGTTTGGGGTCTTACCTATGAAACCCGCATCAAGTCAGTATTTCTTTTGCAGAAAAGGATAAAAAGGGCAATCGCATTTGAACATTTCAATTCTCATTCTACACCAATCTTTGCTGACTTAAAGATACTAAAGCTGCATGACCTCTTTCAATTAAAATTACTCAGTTTTGTATATGATTGTGTAAATAAGATATCTCCTCCTTACTTTCATTTTTTCTTCAAACTAGTTGAAACTGTTCATCAGTTTGGTACACGGCAAGCTAGCAAGAATGATATTTTTGTTACTCAGAAGAATACTCTTTAATATGGTCTCAGGTCTGTGCGATACTTCGGAGCAAAGTGCTGGAATAGCATTCCTATTGATATAAAATGTTCACCATCTGCCTTTAGCTTTCGTCGAAAACTCAAAGCTTTCTTTTTTAAAACAATTACCTTACATAGTTGCAGGCACGGATCTAGGCCGGTTGCACAGGTTTCAAAAAACCAGTCAAATTCTAAGAGCTATGTTTCTCTGTAAATCTTGAATTTTTGATCTAGATTTCAATTGCAACAATTGCTGCATTTCTCCCTGACTGACTACAGTTCTCCTGTTTATATACTGAATTGAACCTTCACAAGAGTTTGACAGAGTTCCCAACTTCCTAATTCAGCTTTTATCCCAAAGTATCCGAGGAATTAAAAATCGAGGAAATCAGCAGCCATTCGATGTGACAGCTTGGAGTATGCTATCTATGCGGCAATACTGAAACCGGTGCCCATATGTTTCCACGAGGCGAATTTCGCACCGAATTCGCTGCGAATTCGCTTCGAAATTGACTTTGATTTCCACGAGACTGCGAATTCGCTGCGAAATTATATAATAATTTCCCCCAAAACTCAACTCTAAGGTGCCCATTTTCAGAACTGCACGCATGGTGAATGTTCCAAGATTGTTTTCTTACAAATAAAGCAAATTTACCATGCTTTGAATTGTTTATAGGTGCTGCGAAATATTTCGCCGAGAAAAAGTCGAACTCTTTTTTACTTTCTTGCGAATTCACTGTGAAATCAAAAATCAAAACTGCGCATGCCTTGATGCCTTCATCAGCGAATTCGCTGCGAAATTCGCCTCGTGGAAATCAACCTTTATGCGAGAAAAACCGGTGACTAAAAAGCATATTCGATATCGATATCCATAGCTCGAAAGGATGGACGCTTTAAAACAAAATGATACAAAATGGAATACGGATGCAAATAAGAATTTGAGGTTTCATATTAAGGGGACTAGAAGTTTTTTCTCGGAAAAGTTCATGAAAATTAGAATCGATGATCTGCATGGTCTATGCAGTTGGGAGTTGAGTCTTTCGATTGTGGGGATTGTGTGGAGGGGCATGCCTCGCCCTTGGTGGGTGGGACAGTGTTCAGGAGTTTCGGCTGGCTTCTGTGGGTTGGTCCTGTGGGGCAGTGGCTAGTCGCTTGCTTGACTGGGAGGTGGTAATACCTTGAAACTGAACTGAATTCGATTATGAAGTTGATTAAATGCCCAGAAACTATTTCCCAATTTTACTAGTCATTTTTAAAATAGGGGGTGCTCTCTCCTCGATTAGCCTAGCTACTGAGAGAGCTCCTCCTCGAGAAATTCCCATGCATACAATTCATTTTTTTTCTGTTCTCAAATTATGACATATTTATATTGTATGTTATTAATATTTGCTGTTGTTAACTTGCTTTTAAATTGTATGTTGTGGAATTTTGAAATTAAATGAACTGAACTTTTTTATCATCATTGCATCATCATTATATTATAATTTTGTTGGACATTTTTCCATTGTGCTCTTTATACCACATTTAGGTCGGCACTAAATCATAGGCTAGATTTACGTGAACATTTAATCTTTGCCAAACACTTTTAAATATTTATATTTGCCCGGCTGCAGGAGCGCGTCTTTGTTTCTATAAAAAAGGAAATACCAATATTAAGTGGCCATCCAGGCAGGTGTTTGACTGTCATGAACTGTTTATGCCTCTCTGGTATAGATTTTTAAACAAAGCAATCAATGTCGAGTGAAAAACTGACACAGCTAGTGAACAACGTGAAAATCCTTATAATGACGTCATGCTTAAACCAATACTGACAGATTAAAAAACGATTTCACAACATATTGGATTCACGTCTTAGTTTTGCTTTGTTCCTGCCTATTACCTTTCAGGAGAAAACTGTTAACTGAATTGAGAAATATGTTAAGAAATAATAATTTATTTGTCTAGTAGGGTTTTAAACTTGGGATTAGTAATTTCGAAAATGGAACATAGAACTGACAGATTACTATTTGCTGGTTCGATAAACCCAATAAACTGAGTAAATAATACTTTGCAATGAGTAATAATACGAAAAATAGCCAGGAACAAAGCAACACAACGACGAGAATCCAATGCAATGAAAAAGATTCCTGAAATATATTAAATTGAATAATGCTGGGTAGGGAGCCGGAAGATATAATTGGAACCACAAAATTATCATTGCTCCTCGCTGGAAATCTTTAATATTCTTTCATAGTACAGTGCAACCAAGGCTAGATAATTATTTATACATATACATACAATTCCCCTCTGAGACTTGTGATAAACCCCACATTTTACCTCTCTATGTATGTCGAAACCAAATACCATGCTTCTGAGCTTATTCTTCACAGTTCGTCTGCATGGTGTTTGATCAAAAGAATTGCATGTTTTCCTGCAGAAAAATAACGTTGCAAACAATGCCTACTTCGTTAATGTGCTTCGAAGCGAGAACTGGTGGTAGGAAGAACTGATGGAAAAGGGCGCACGAGGGGTAGAATAACCGTTTTATATTTAGTGCTATCAAGAGTAAGCTGACATAGCCTGTGATTGGAATACATCTCCTGGCAGAAAGTAATGACCTCGATAGGAAGAGGGGAAAACAAAGAACTTTAAGGTAAAGAATGCGTTATGAAAAGCTTGAGTAAAATGCGCATGATTGTCTCTATCTACACATTTGTACCAGCAAGTGTCATAACATCTCATTTTATAGAACATTTTCTTCGCAAAATCCATTTCAACCCATGGATTAAGGGTTGATGTTATTTTTGTTTTTGAATATTTCTTCCGTCTTAATTAGTATTGTTACCAACTTGACAAGGAATTCTTCAATGTGGATTCATCATGTAGATGCAAAAGGATCACAGGAACGAAAAAGATATATTCAATTTCAAAAACTCTCTGTAAGAGTTGTCAAAAGACAGTCTGAGCCCACTAGACCATTTAATCATGAAGATAAACAAAAGGAAGTTTTGTGTACATCCGTTTCTGTTCTTTTGCTTTCTTCACCGAGGAATACAGTCAACAAGAAACCAAGAACACTTTTCGATAACTAGCAAATCATTTCATGATCCCAATTACGAATTGTTATTAATCGATAACAAATCCAAAAAGGAGAATTATAATGTAAAAATTAACCCCGTATTAAAATAAATACAAAAACTCACAACTTGGGCATTCAAAAGTACTGCTACGTCGATTACAAAATATGCTTCTCGAAATTATTGTAACGATTTGAGGCGAAAGACAAGGTTAGTGCAAGCCGTTTCATTAGAAGAATGCTTCCTTATAAGAATGATGTATTGTTAAAAGAATGAACTGCTAGTTAATATAAGCATAAACTTGTGTATATAACAAGGGTCAGCTCATACAAGGCAAGATATGCGCGAGTGGGTTAGGTCACAGGCCAGAATAAGCCAGAATAAAAACGTGTTCGATCCTATTATTGTCATGCCAAATACTCAAAACTACGCCCAGCTTCTTTGCAATTGTCTATGCGGGAGACACGTTTTTTAACAATTATGATGGAATCTCAATGGGTGAAATGAGATCTGAAACTTTTTCTATTCAACTTGTTCCGATGAGGAAAAGGAGGACATTACTATATGTTTAACATAAATTACAATGCTTGTAAACTTCAAACGAAAGGATATGAATGAAAGTTGAAGGTAGTGTACCCAGACGTTTGGCAGGCGTGAGTTTGCCCACCTCTTGTGTAATGAACGAAGGGCTAGATCTCACTCACCCTGCTAATTGACATAATTCATTCATATTCATGTTCATAACATCTGTCAAAAATTGCCTTAAGCTACCATGACTACAAGAATTCACCACCCTATAAAAATTAGAAAAATACCCCACCCTATTACCCTGCTTTAAGGTGCAATTTATTTAAAGGGACATGCGCAGCTAGCTGGATGTAGTAAAAAAAATTTCGCATTTTCGTTATTTCACTTTCCTTGACATAGAACTTCACAATTTATACAAGAACTGCGAATCTCCGCTTATAAATGCAAGCAGGGAATAGGTTATCGCAACTTTGCATAAAAAGGTGTCCCAGCGAAGAAAATGAAAATATATTTCAAATCTACTAAAAGCTTATATCATACAAACGGAGTAAAGTTAACAGTATGAAAAGCAAAGAAAGATTTTCAATAATGGAAGTTTCGTATAACAATTACAACTGCAATTGATTATGCTACACCAAACCGTTATTATGTCGTTTACACAATCGGCTTTATCGTATTCGTCCAAATCTGTAATCTAAACGCAGAAATCGGGAAACCGATTCCATGGTCTGATTGCGATATCTGACTTTATCAATACCGATTTTCCTTTCTCGTGCATTCTGATGCTATCAAAATTGCACAATGGTTGAAATCCGATTGGACCAATTTTCCAGACCGATAAAATCTGATGATCTGACCGATAAAATTTGAAGATCCGAGTGACAAAATCTGAAGTCCAACTGATAAAATCTGAAAATTTAACCGATAAAATCGTGATATCCGACTAATAAAATTTGAAGATCCGACTGATAAAATTTGACGATCCGACTGATAAAATCTGAAGATCTGACCGATAAAATCTGAAGATCCGACTAATAAAATTTGAAGATCCGACTGATAAAATTTGACGATCCGACTGATAAAATTTGACGATCCGACTGATAAAATCTGAAAATCTGACCAATAAAATCTGAAGATCCGACTGATAAAATCTGAAGATCGGACCGATGAAATCTGAAGCAAAAAATGGTTAGTTTTAATCGAATTCGATAAATCTGATTGCATAAATCCTACTAAATTTGCTGAAAAAAATTAAAAAATTAAGTAATAATCGAATGGGATGGAAGTTTAGCCCTAGTGTACCTCATGGACATTAAGAAATGTTGAATATTGCATTGTATCAAGGATAATTCAGATCGCTCGATGAAACTTCGGCAAAGGTTCAAAGCTCAAAGACGGAAGAGATGACACAAGCTTACTTCTACACCTATTCTTTCAACCTTCCCAAAATTGCATCTCTGACCAGCAAGCTGAGAGCTGCGGACGGCACAACTTTCAAATATGCAGCCGTTAGGCCAGCATAAAGGCGAGAAATCCCACCATATTTCAGTAGAGTTTTGGTGACATCGATAGAAGACTGCATCCGTAAGCGGAAAGCGGTGGCATTTCTGTCTACTTGCATTGTTCTACGGACGACGTCAAGTGGATGCACCGCCTAAAAAAAAATTCATCTAAAAAATTTAAACAGGCTTTGCAGGCGTTTTATTGAGGCCCGTTTAGTTCAAAAGTACATTGAATAAATAAAAAGAAAGTTAGATACATTGATGCATCTTGAATTAAATTCGCTGTACTTCAATTGCTATTAAATGATACAAAACTAATAATGGGAGTTTTTCAATAAATTATAGTAGGTGTTTAGAATAGTATCTTAACTTCTAAAAAACAAGGACAGTCATCTTTCGTTTCTTTTCCTGTAGATGCAACGACTGCGTCTTGACCTTGGCATTACGATATCCAGTTTTAGGTCCTTGTTAGTTTTGTTTGAACAATCAAGTTTGGCGCCAAAAATGAAATTTGATGGGAGAAGTGAATTTTGGGATTAGCCTGATAATTCTGCGTTAGTCCAATAATTAATTCTCAGCTTGCACAATAATTAATCATTTTAATGTCTAATAATTAATTCTTAGCTTATACGATAATTAATTGTATCAATATCAAATAATTAATTCTTAGCACCTACGACTATTTATTGAAAATCTCCATTATTAATTTTGTATCATTTAATAGCAATTGAAGTACAGCGAAAGATAATTTCAAATGCATCAATGTATTTAACTTGAATTTTATTTATTTAATGTACTTTTAAAATAAGCGGGCCCCCATACATTTGGTGACCGAGACTTAAGTCTCGATCAAATGTATCCGAAAATTTAAAATTTTTAATCTTAATGGGTACTGACACTGCAAATATCCAGAATATATAAAATGTCTCAACTGCCATAAAACAGTTGTGTATCATAAAGCCTAGCTAGATTGGTAAAAGATGCGGTAGAAATGGTGAGCTTCTTGTATTAACATTTAATTCATCCCTTTAGTGAGGAATATTCCCAAGCACTTCGAAAATAGCCAGCAATTAAAGAGGAAACATCAATCGTAAAAAAATTAGAAGTGGAATACCGCAAGGGTCTTGCTTTGAAACCTCTTTTGTCTATTATTTGTGATAATGAATTGTGTCTTATAAAGTCTACAACAATACTTTCATATTTATGCAGGCAAACAAAGGGTTAGGTGCTTCGCAGAGTTGAATAAAGTAACTTTCTTGAACGAGTTGAGAAATGTGACTGCCAACATTTCTCAATGGATGATATGAGATAATACGACAAGAGACAATATGATTGATATGAACAGGGTGTCATTTTTCCCGTGACTGTGTGACCATTGGTCATACGAAAAACTCAGTTAAAATGTTTCTCATAGGAAATCTTCAAGCGTTGATAAATAATTTAACAGTTCTATACACTTTGCAAGAAGTTTGGCAGTTTTGAAGGAAATAAAATGCTCACTGGAAATTACTTCGCTACACTTAAAAATATCAAAACTATGTTTACAGTGATATTGTATTAGAAGCGCTCAAGGGGATCAGCTTCCCTTGCAAACAGTAACAAATTACTACTTACTGTTACGAGTGTTTGAGATACTTTTCGAATGCAGGATATACGGAAGGGACTATACAGAAAGAACTAACCCCCTATATTCATAGCATAATGACATCCATTTTAAGAATAGAATTAGTCAAACGTTGCAAAAGTATGTCTAAGAAAGTAAAATGTTTAAAACGATTCCAAGAAATAACTGCAAAAGTTATACCAGAATGCATTTCAAGCTTATCATTCTAAAGCATGGTCGCGAAAATTGACAATGACAATACTTTCAATTACCTTACCTACCCTTTAAAAGAGCTTTGTTATCAATGTCTTTTATAAGAAGGGCCACCGAAAGAGGGACAAAGGTGCAAATTGCCCTATGGCCTCTAGATCTAGGGAGCCTCATAAAGAATTGAATTCAAATTTAAGAATTGAATTAATCAAATGTTGCAAAAGTATGCCTAAAAAAGTACAATGTTTAAAACAATTGCAAGAAATATTCTAAAATGCATTTTAAACTAGTCAGAGCGTGGTCGCTATAAATTTCTGCTCACTTCGCTCGCAGTTGGCCTCCTCTTTCGTTTTTGCCCCGGGACTTCCGAAACCTCCTGCGATCCTGATTATTAGCATGGAAAAAAGGAACTTATGAAATCGGAAATTTCCCTTTCTATATAGGTGACTCCTGCTTGTCTTCAAGAGGACTTTAAAGGATAACAGCCTGGATATGATGTGATTGATATCCAGCTCTCATTGGAAATCAGCTCTCTGAATCAGTCGACATTTTGTAGCGTGATGGACATGAAGTGTCTGGAGGGATTATTTCATCTCAACAAGTCGAATAGGAGGGCTTAGCTTATTTGCGTCATCTGCTTCATAATTTATTAAACAACAGGTGTTTTCAGACTTTACTTTCTTCATCTTACCGATTCGCATGCTTCTGACGCTTGCTTAATGTCTTCTTCTAAAGCCATTTGAGTATATTTATGATATCCATGGAAAGAATAAAAACTTTCCATGGATAAAATACTTTAAATAAAAGACCTTTGAGTTGAAGCTTGGGAAAATCCAAAATCATTATACTTATTGAAAAAGTATTAGCCACATAAAATGTTTTCTATCATCAAGTGGTTATGTAATTGATTCTTAAGTTGATCCGGTAACATAAAACATCCAACTTTTTAAAAGGCTATAGATTTGACGATTCGTAAACAAAGTCACAAATACGAACAATAATTGTATGCTGTATCACAACTCTACAAGGAGTAACTAAGAGATTGAGATACACGACAGGGGTAGGACAAGGCTGTATGTTAGAGGCGCGAGTATTTATCTTGTCTAATGAATCGATTTTCGATTCACAGCACACAGCACACGTTAATTGAAATGAAATATTGCCAACTTTGGATAGCTGGCGATGCTTCACATACAAAAAGCGCTAATCAAAAATGTTTAAAAACTCATTGCTAACAATGAGCCATTGCGCTACGCAAGCATCCCATAATGCATTTTTAGACTGTCTGAAACCAATTTTGGTTAATCCGTAGAAGTTTACTGCCATTGTTTGGACCGTCGCCACGTTCGCAAAAGCCCATTGTTAGCAACGAGTCTTTAAAGTTAAAGGGGCTGGGTCACGTGTAAGTCCTCTCTTAAACGCATACTGTCCCGCAAAAAACGTTTGTTAATGATTACTTGTACCAGCCCCTTTAAGGCAAAACGAATTAATACAATGTAAAATAGGACATCACTGTATAATGGCGCATCCCTGCACCATGGGACATTTCTGTACAATGTACATTGTTTTATCCCTGTAACCCCGGAGCATCACAGGGCAATGAGTCAACCCTGTACCATAGGGCATCACTGTACCGTGGGATTTCCCTGTACCATGGAACATCCATGGAACATCCCTATACCCTGAGACATCTCTGTACAAATGGGCATTAATATACATTGGTTCATCCTTGTACCACGGGGCATCACTGTACAATGGTGCATTCCCGTACCATGGGACATATCTTCACAATGGAACATCTCTGTACCGTTTAGCTTTGCACCAAAATTTTCGGGATGAAAGAAACAAACCTTTGTATCTATAAACAAACCTGGGTAAGTCACCACAATCTTTGATTTCATGAATAAATATATTTCTCAGGTGGCTCCTCAATTTATTTTCTTAAAAATGTTATCACTGTTTGCCACTGCCAAACGAGTTACAAAACATTACCACATCTTAACAAAAGACACTAGTTTTTTAATCTTCTGACAGATGCACGCCACATTCACTAAATTATGACAGCATTTTAATCCTGTTCATAAGACAAGATAAATATTCGCGGCTCTAACATAAAGCCTTGTCCTACCCCAGTCGTGCATCTAAACGTCTTAGTTACTCCTTGTGCGTTTGTGACACAGCACACCAGTATTGTTCTCATTTTATATCAGCGCTTTACGTATTTAGCATCTTCAGAAAAACAATGTCAAATGTCTTTCTAAAATCTAAATGGTATACAGTTTTTGAAGCTTACATTAAAATATCGATACACGCTAACAATATAGGATTGCTGCTTGTTTACATCTTTTTACCATTTTGAAGATCTTTTTAGCGGAATTCACCTAAGTCTTCTCCTTTTAAAGTTTTCTATGGCTTGCTCATATTAGTCGTTCATTCTATTACACTTTTGAATACTTTACACATGTTTTTCAAAAATGATGTTTCTCTGTAGTTCAATCTGTCTATTCCGCCAAACCTTTCAATTATTATGTTGAAATTATTTCTCCTACGTTCTACAGTTTGGGAAATCAAACTGGATACCACACACAAAAGGTGCATTTTTATGTAAACAGATTCTTACCGTCTGTGCAACAGTGCCAGCCAATGCCCCACATGCCAGAAAGGTAGACACGTTGTTCCCGAAGATGGTTGTCACTGAAGAGTTCTTTAGCACGTCATAAACGCATTGTTGAATGGCCAAGAATGGGGCAATGGAGACAAGGGTTGGGCCCAAACCTATGGGACACAATACATTACTCCTTAACACATGCTTACGGCAATTTCGGCAAAATAATTTAAATATTGATCAAAAGCCTTCATCAATCTTGCTCAAATCAGTTAAAATCGCCGAGAACAGAAATTCTAATGACAGACTCACCTCTGAACAATGCAGCTACTCCTTCCTGGCTTTTGATCGTTTGAATTGCGTGAGAAATGCCTCTGTATCTAGTGACGTCAGCGGTCGTTCTATCTTGGACTGTTAACCGGGCTCTCACAACATCTAACGGATGAGTCAAGGTATTTGCTACAACACCAGCAGTGGCTCCTGATAACAATCTCCACAATGGTTGATTGGGATTTTTCTCGTTGTCAACCGGAGTATACTGAAGAAGAAACAAACTTAACGACATGTCACAGTTTACAACCACCGACTCAACGATGAAAATGTATAAAGAGGTATTTTAAATTCATGTTTACGTGGACATAAGAAAACTTTGAAATATCATAGAAACTGATAAAAGGTAAAAGATGGTAAGGAAAAATTGGTACTCAAAACTGTATCGGCTCTGCTAATTAAAAACTGATGGTTGAAGTTCTCTATGTGTTTCTCAAAATGAATTTTTTGTAGAAAAATTAAAATGTTCTATTTCAAATTTGATGACGTTGGTCCAGTCAGAGGATCTTAAGAAAATATTGAAAATGAAATAATTAATAAAATTGGTTTCCTTCTTGATACTCCATAAGATATAAATTGATGCCCGAGATTATAAGTGCATTGTCGCATGGTTGCATGGTCGTATCACTCATATACATTTCTTCAGCAAACTTTCTCAAATCATTTTCTGCACTCACTTATTTTTGGCTGTTAATCCCCTCCCCAAGTGGGAAGTCAATCCTAAATAGCGATAATTCTAAAGTGTCACTACATACAAAAATCTGTCAAAATTACAACAATCTACTAAAATCATTAGGAAGATTACAAAAGATATGAAACAAGGCAAACAAGAAATATAACAGAAAACAAGAGATTTATGTCGAGAAGAATCTCTTTAAGTGGATGTGCAGAGGCACAAGTTGGCATTTGCCAAACGAACAAGTTTCCAAACAAAGATCATGCGTATCATCCAATGGCACAGCATTATGACACTCAAAATCCAATCTATCCAGCAGTGTAAAAAAGCAAAATGATCTCATGATCACATGCCTCAAAGGATCTTTATTTCTAGATTGCCCATCATATCTTTGCACAATTACTTAAAACGTTTCACGGAGTCAGCAACCCTTGTCTTAAAAACATATTGTATTATTATTATATTATTATAAAAATTTCTAACGAATGCACTTTTTGCTTTGATGGAAACTTACTGCTGAAGTGGTTTGTTTGATGTTGAGGGGAACGTTGTTTCAAGTATTAGCACCAGCATATCTGACAGATAACAAGCCACATTGCGAGGTGTTGTGTTGTGTCAAAACATAGCACCTCTATGGCACTGGCTTGTGCCATACTGATTACAACATCTGACAACATGGCAAAAAAATTGTGAAATTTAGGTGTAGAAAACTTGTTAACAGACTCGTAGATAAATGTAAGCAGCTTTAAATTGAGCATACAGCGCAACTTAAAAATTTCAATTCGGAGGAAATTGGAAAGATGGAGATGTAAAATTCTGGAAATTTACACCTCAGTCAGTCAGTTGTCGTTTTGAAACAAAAGGCAATGGTTTTTTATTTAGATCAACTGGCGCAAAGTTGGCGATGTTCTGACTCAAAGGGCTTCTTTGCGCTCAAGTTCTATACTTTGTAGTGTCTTTTTCAAATCCCGGTAATTTTCAGTCTCTTCTAAGGAGGTCTAAATCATGATAATAATGATCATAAAAAGGTACTGTATTGGCTTATGTCGCATCACCAATACTGTACCTGTTTACTGAAACAAAATAGTCTTGCTTTCTGCTAGTATACAGGGTCGCTGAGTTTAGAATGCTAAATCACGTTTTCAGATCTATTGCCTGCTTTAATCCACCCATGTAAAGCGCGACTGCAATTAAAATCACTAATGGAAAACTTCACATTTTGATTTTACTTCCATTCACATATTCTAGCTACATTTCCCTGGAAAGAGATAATGAAATGTCAAAACAAGTGCAATGGTTCAGTGGGCTTGTGTTTTAAGTTACATAACCTAGCTATATTGTTCCTTCGGCCATGTTTTCATTGAATAAGTAAGACACATATTGTAGTTAAAAGCAGCTGCAGATGTCAGTAGATACTTAAATTTCTGTCAAAGTACATCATAATGGAAGCATATGCAAAGTTCACCTGCGTCAATAGTGCTCGCAAATGTTAAGTTCGGCAAAAACACGGTCCAGAAGCAGATCAAAACAGCCTATAATTCAAAGAATGCGAGGATAAAGCAAACGAACATCGAAAAGCCGTTATTTTTAATCTTAACGATGTGTTTTTGGATCGTAATGAAATATGCTTAACATAAGGCTTCAGCGAGATGCAAAGTAAAATACTGGGATTGGTGAAGAAAATAGCTTTGAAATTGATATGTCACAAAACCAAAGAGCGATAAACAGTTGATACAGGGATAAAAAATTCGATATAGTTTCACGCATTGTCAGGAAAAGGGCTGGGGCATATAGCGAAGTCCTAACGATGGAAAAGAAGGAGGCCTTAGGAAGAGAGGAAGAATGAGTTGCTTGATTTTGGTTTTGTTAGCATAGGTTCCATATCTTTGATTGGCTGAGTGACCAAAATTGGCCAATCAGATTTTATGAGTATGACAACAAATGTGCCTCGCAGCTAGATTTGGGACTATTGCAAGTACTCAACAACAATTGTAAAAACCTGTAAAATGTGCTAACGTGCCTCGATCTTCCTCTCTTCGTAACGCCTCCTAATTTTTTTTAAAAAATTGATTCTTCGATAAATTTATTAAGAAACTGCCCTTGTACTCAGTAAAAGATTTTTCGCAACCGTTAGTTACGAAGGCTTGAAATTGTCTTAAAAAGTGTTTGACCCCAAAAATTAACAAGTATGAACTCGCCGATACAAATTAATGCTAAAATAATTACAAGTCGGCATTGAAGTTTGCCCGTCTGACGTGAAAAAATTCTGAATTATTCTAAGAGAATCTGCAGTCCTTCTGTAAGATTATCCGGTATATAACAAGGATAGAACACTCGAACTCGAACTTCAATACTCCATTTCGTATTCTCGCGCATAACATAACATAACCAACCGGGCGCATGCCCGACATAACATAAATACGAGGCTAATACTCGTAACGTCACACCTTCTTTCTCATAAAATTACTACAATTGTGCAATTTATTGTGTGCTTATGTACTTTATAAATACATTTTAAAGACCTGAAGACTGATGAGAAGCTCACCTCCACTGATGTTCATTATCATGGCCTTGTAAAAGCTGACGCAATTCGTGAACGATGAAGAGGGTGGGAAAATGAAATATGTATCATTTACGAAAATTAATTTTTGTTCCTTAAAAAAGGTTCCCCGATCAAAGAAATGTGTAGAAATGAAATGTTGAACACAAAACAGCAATATTCTGTCAGTCATGCAAGCCTCCATGCTGACATTTAAATACTTGTAGTGGTTGAAGATTGTAGATCATTGTTGAACAAAACAGAACCTGGGAAAGGCCAGCATTAACAGAGTTGGGACTGGAGAGGTAATCGTCAATTTTGATGGATATCAGAGAAACAGCTCTAAATCGAATCGATAACTTTTCATTTTCATTTCATTCTTAAGTTCTTGCATGTGAAGTTTGGATGCCAGATGCGATCAAAGGATTTCAGACGTGGAGAGAGATCACTCTGCTTTCACCAAAGGATTCCAGAGCAGTAGGCAAAACCACACTGGTGATTAGAAAGTTTGTTAGCTTCAAGAGAGGTAAGTAGTTGCTTGGTGATGATGGTCCCCATTGTTTTAGAGATGAGGGAAGTAATAGTAGTGATTGGAAGATGGTTGGGTCAGGTATTTCCTCCTTTTTAGGAACAGGAAAAACGTGGACTAGTTTCCAGGAGGATACCGATTGAATAGGAAATCTGGAACAGGTTTTTAAGAACTGAACGATTTATGGGGCACAGATTTTGCGAAGCATTGCTGGTATACTATCAAGCATATTGATCTAGAAGTGTTTAGCAGGAGGAGAGAACATTGCGAACCTTGCAAGTGGAGAACGTGATTACTGACAATTATACGGAAGGAGAGAGAACTTGTTTGATGGTTGGAATCTAATTGTTGATGTGTATTTGCTATTTGTTGGCAGGCCTGCAGGGCACCCTTTCTCTAAGCATCCTCAGAAGTGGGATCAAACATCTGCTGTTGCTAATAGGTAGAGTGGTATTAGCATATAATGATAACATGATAACACTATTTATCAGTTTTGTGTCCTAAGTAGCAACCATAGAAATTCTACCTGTCAAATGCAACCTTTTCCTTCAGAACGATAAAAGTAAAAGGCAATGAAAAGCTTTTGGTATATACATAATAAGAGTATGTAATTGCATTTTTAATATCTAAAGCGTTTTATCGCGAGATCGATATGATTTTCAAAAGGAAATATTGGAATTAGCAGAGAATATTGTTAACAACCCCTGTAGAAGTTTCAAAGGAAAAGCTAGACTTGTTGGATGAGATGAAATTCTGTCTTCTGTGAGAACGGACGAAAAATCTAGCAGCTTACAGGCCATAAGCTGTCCGGCTATTAAAGACGATGCAGAGCAAAATCAATGAAAAGGTGCGCTGAGGCAAACTTTCGGTTATGTTGAAGTATACATTAAATTCGATGGTGAGACAGCGCGAAACAACACAAGATACAGTGGCGGAAATTATGGGGGCTTGGGGGGGGGGGGGCCCGGGCAAATTCGTGCTTTTGTCGGATAATTGACAACCGTGTAACGTGTCGAAATTACTCCAAGAGACAGTGCTAAACAGCACAAGAAAGGTGCCATCAATGATGGTTTTCTTCGAGCAAATTATGCTTATGTCGCTGAGTTGAATGAATGTATTGTTGAGCTGAAAATTAACTTGAAAGCCTAGTGGTAGCGAAAAAAACTGCTATCACTGGAATACTCACTTTTATCATCCTTGAATAAACCAAACAAACGATGGCTGATGTTGGGAAAATCCTCAGTAAATTCGTCCCGTTCCCTGCAAAAAGCCCATAAAAACCTTCAGTTCTCCAAACATTTTTGAGTGTGTGCAGGATCTTCAGTCGACTTGAACTTGTTGCAGTCTGTGAAAAAATAAAACAAGAGAAATCTAATTTGCACATAGATCGCCTACATTACAAGCAGATTCTCTCAAAGGTTGAATAGTAGAGCTCCAGAATGGAAATGGACTGTGCTTCAACACAGCTGGTGCTCCCTGGCTTCCAATAAATAGTTTAGCCTTATGTAATTATTTCTTTATCTAAAGTGAAAATTCAGTATTCCATTCCTACTGATAGAAAGATTATTGTCCTGATATGAAACAATACCAAGTCAGAAATAAGTTAATTACATCGCAAACTGGCTGTGAAAGAGAAAAATAAAGTATAAAATATTTCCCTTTTCCATCAATGTGATTCAGCCTTGGTTCTAAGATCTTAAGAACTGAGCCAAGCAACAGTATCCATTACTAAAGTTTAGGTCTTTCATTAGCAATATCTCATCCCATTGGTTACCAATGAAAATGATTTTGCATATCTAAAGATCATGGTTATCTTTCAGGCTTATTTAAAAATGAAATTTTTAAAATACTGTATATTCACATGATGCCACAACGCAGCTACTCTTTTGTGTAGCTGATAACTCAGGGTTTTGGGAATGTATTAACACTTAACAGAATCAAAAGAGAAGTGTAAATGAGAAAATGGGTTGGGATTAACAAATGAATTTGAGATTAACATGAGATAAACAAATGAAGAATTAATAATTCCTGCCAATGTGTGACAAAAAAGGTCCCATGTTCAACACTGTACAAAAGTTTAGACACTCTCTTGTTAATTATCCTATCCTTGCAGGATGCCTAAATCACTAGAAGATAAATGCAAATAATTTTAGTATTTATTTTAGTAATAGCTTGGCTTGTCAAAAAAGACAAGAAGCAGGAACATTGATTTTTGCACCTACGCTTTCAATACACTCCCACATAGGCTATCCTATTGTTTCACTGGACACACCCATCCAAGAACCTAAACTCAAGCCAACATGTTACATGTGTTCTTCCTCTACTCGCTTTTCCTGGTGACCACTAAACATTCTAACCCCCTTTCCACATTACTTGTAATAAACCAATATTATTCAAGTTAAATCCTTTTTAGTAGTTGTTTTATCAAACTACTATACCTCTGAAAATCATTAAAATATTCTTACCAAAAACTACCATTAGAAATCTCATTATTAGGGGTAATTGTTTAATGGCATGCCCTGTTTAATAAAAGTGGAATTCACAATATAGTTGGTATATAGTAAAAGAGGAATTTATTCCTTCAGCAAAAAACATGTGGCACAAATAGATATTGTAGAAAGCTTGTTTGTCGATTTGTGTAATTTATCAAATATAGACTGAAAAGGACCCTTATGGTGTTAGGTCTCCTATTTAAAAAAAATTTCCTTGCTTCTCTGGCTACGGGGCTATCAGAAATTCCATGGTATTGAGTTCTACTAGAATATTTGCTATTCTGTAGTCCAATCAATACTATGATTAACTATTTAGCTGATAATGCAAAAAATAACATGCCTTTTTGTATTTCATAGAATCAAAGTTTTTTACATTCGGAAAAAATGTATTATATCAACAGATAGTCATATTTTGAAGGTTTTGACATCTATTTGATCTGCTCTGATTGGCAAATTCAAACAAATCAAAATCTGGAAGCGTTTGATACCAGCACAAATTAAATCTGAAGCTGCTTGCTTGGTAGGCATCTGATTCAAAGTGTCCCTTTTTAAATTTCCAGTTGTCTGCCCTTCATAGTATTTTATGCTGTGGAGCCTGTGTGCATTGACCATACAGTTCTATTTGCTTTCCATTCAGGATAAATCTCTCCATTCAGATTGATTCAACCTATCAGTTACTATAAGGACGATAGCAAAAGAAATGACTGTATTTTAGTCTTTTTTAAAAACTTGTTGAATGGCTCAAATGTGATTCAAAACAATGCTTCATATGACATTTTGCAAAATTGAAACAGTTGTCAATATTATATTTTGGAATACTTTATAACAAACCCAAGGTTGCAGAGAGTGAGGCCGCGCTTTGGGCATCCAATGGATAATATGCTTTCTATTATTGTGTGCAGAACAGTTCTTGGCCCCAGGGAACTTGCCCTGGCTACCCTCCTCTTACAGGGGGTACTTAATAAACCCTTAATGATAAGAATACAGATGTATATGGTACTAAATGGGGTTTTGGGTGTGAATGCATCCCTTTATAATCAAATATATCTTTTTCATAAAATTATTTGATAAAAATGCCCAAATAACATTAGCTTTACCTCATTTTACAAAGCTACCTCATTTTACAACTAACAACCAATGTTGCCAACCATCGTAAAGAAAAGAACTCTGAAAATAATGTGAGGTCTGGGAATCAGTGATAGGCACATCCTAGAACATTTTTCCCTTGAAAATTCAGCCAGTCTTGTAAATGCAAGTTAAATTTCTTCAAATCTATTAAATTTAGGTATGATGAGTGTCATAACATAATATCAAAAAATGCATCAAAATAGCTGCGAGATCTTGAGTTCCACTTTGCTTAAATACTCCCTAAATGAGAAAATGGTATTCACCTGAGCAAGAATTTTGATTTTTTCTAAAGGTGCAGTGGCAGTTCTTGAAGCTACCCCACCACACCCACCAGCTATCATGAACCTCCAAAGTGGAACTTCCGATGGTGGTAACGAAGCTGGAACCTGGTCACTGCCAATATCAATACCAAACCCTCTTGCCCATTTATCTGCCACAGAGCCAATGCTAGCTGTAGGCATATCCGCGAAAAAATCAGAAAACTCTTCAAAATTTATAACACCATCACCATCTTTGTCCATTCCTGTAATTATTGCTTTAATTTTCCTTATAGACAGCGGTTTCGACATCATCTCCAAGCACTTCTGAATTTCATATGCGTCTAACTTTCCATTTTGATCAATATCAATAGCTTTGAAGATGTTTTCAAGGCGCCTCTCGACAAATATACAAAACTCGCTGAAATCTAGCCTGCCATCATTACTATGGTCACTGTCCATAAAAGTTTCATAATCGGTACCGCTTAGAGAGATATTAAGTTTATCACAGCATTCCTGTATTTCAAACCAGTCAATTTTATGATCTTCGTTTTTATCAACTTCAGCAAACGCTGCCCTGAGTTTCTGAGTAGCTTTCTCTCGCATGTTTGCAATGGTTCTTTCCGTGACAGATAGGCCTAATGGCCTAGTTCATAACAATGCCAAAAAAACCAATTGTATACTCTCTCTGCAATATATTCAAGAACTCATCAAGGCGATAAAATGTAAATTTTGCTTCAATTTACCCAGGTAATTCTTTTACACCATATTTACAACTCTAGCAAATATTTCTTGGACATCGTCGCAGTCAGCTGAACTCGTTCCAAAGTATAAAGCAACGATAAAAGGGCGGGGTTGCAGCCTCGCTACGGTTTCGCGCCAAAACAAAGAACTATTTTACATCTACTTCATTGCCCGAGATAGCCGGGCGCAACGAGCTTTATTTTCCTAATTATTGTGTTTATGAAATAATAATAATGAACGATGATGGCGATGATTACAGTGATTTATGAAGGGGTCAGCCGCTAGGGGGCCAAGGAAGCTCTCCCTGTATTTTGAAAAATTATCAATGCCCCCTTGTTCAGTGCCTCTTCTTGATTATTAGTGCCTTTTTCCGGAAAAGAATCCCGTTTTTAAAAAATGCTTTAATTCACTGTTTTCCTAAAAAACAAAAATTGCCCCCAATAACTGTAGTGACAACAAGGTTATAACATATATTGCAGTTATAACATATCCTATTACCAAACCTTTTCTGCCGGTTCGTATTGTCGTTAACTTTAGTGATGCTGTGTTATAAGGACCAAGCATGTCTACTGTTATACTTGAGGTTGAACGACAGTGTTAAGTATAACATGAAATTGCGTGAGTTCTTACTACTTTAACAAATACCAATAAAATTCAGGGCTTTAACTTATGACCTTGCTTCTGAATCTTTACTTTAGCGGCGGCAGGAGAACGTCAGAGAGAGAAACGGCGACTGGTCTTTATCTTTATCTTCATCAGCGTCAAACTAGCGTCTAAATTACAACTTCTCTAAATCTCTAAACTAAAAGCTCAAATTATATAAGATTAAACAATAGATGGTGCAATAAATCTAAACATCCAATAAAAGTTCCAGCAAAGCAAACGTCCAATAGGAAAAGGGGTTCTTGTTATTATTTGTCCAATCATAAGCTTTTTCTTCGAGTTACACTTCGTGGTGCAATCCCTGACGGCCAAAATATACCATGACGTAACCTGTTTTAAGTTGCATGTCGTGGTGCAATCTCTCGTAATCTCGTCGTCCAATGACGTAATGTTAACTATACAACACTACTAGACGAACTTTTAACAAATAACAACATTGTTTTCACTGTACATAGACAACAATTCAAAGCACTGCGATATACAAGGATGTCGAAAAATTTAACTATGGAATACTTCTAAGAAAGGATCTTTCTTAGTAGGAAAACTAAATAAGAAGAGAGTCCCCTTAAACTAAAAAAAAAATATTACAAAAAGTAAACAGTTTGAAATATCAGTTCATTTTAATGTGATTCCAATTATAATCATTCACTAAGACTCTTGAAGATAAAATTTCCTTTAAAAAACGATGTTTGCAAGCATAAATTTTAAGCCAGGAGAAACATATAGTTTTGAATGAATGAAGGTGTTGCTTTTTACAAAAAAATCTATGCTTGCTTCAGGTTATTGATAGCCCCCCCCCCCTCCCATATTTATATTTGTTAACCTAAACCTTTATCTAGAAGATTTTGTCTTAATGTTGAAGTTTTTTCTAATTCGATGTAATTATAGTATAATAGGGCAAATAACTCGATAGCTCATCTGAGTTCTTCTTGTTTGCTCTAACTTTTATCAATTATGTAAGTATATTTGATCATGTAGCCTCTAATTGAAAGCTTGAATTTATAATAATTGAATTGAATTGAATTGAATTGAATTAATTTTGGCGCCACTCTGATACCCTAGCGCAAGATGCAAATTTTTTCAGCGCAGCGCAATGATATAGGCGCAGCGTTGATTTTTTCAGAACGAGGTCAACCCAAAATTTTAGAAAATCTATTTGATTTAGGAAGGTAACTTATATTTTGTCAGCTTGCCGTATGCATTTAGAAGGTTTTAAGCAATAAATTTTGTTTGTATACGGGTTTTGAGATTTTTAAAATATTTTTTTACCGTGGCGTTGATAAGGGCACTCTGGTTTAGGGAATATTTGTATTTCTAGGAAGATTGTTTTGGGCTTTTTTACATAAATTTTGCGCTTATGAAAACATCTTGTGTTCATTTTCTATCGTTACATTAAGGAACCATGGTAAAGAGGTCATCTTCAATTCTGATTCAGCCACGCCCCCTTCCTACAACATCCTGATGTCCGTAAATAAAAGTCTGATTGCTGATGAATGTTAGAGGGAAGGCCTTGTCATGGAAAAAACTTGATATAGATAGTTATCATAAACTTTTTCACTCCATACATTGAAATTTTCACCATAAGTCATATGAAGGGGGTTGCCGAAGTAGGGGAGTGTTCATTCAACAAGTTGTCATAATGATAAAAGAGTATTTGCTAAAATCTACCCCTTTACTCATAAAATTCAAAATAAAACCAATTTTGAAATTATATTCGGTTTTTTTGCAAATAAACCCAAAAACAGTCTTTATAAAAAGGTAAACATTGCCTAGGTCAGAGTGGGCCGTGCGAGCGCTGCAGCAATAAAATATTTTAAAAATCTTGAAACCTATTTAACACAATTTATGGCTTAAAACTTTTGAAATTAATACAACAAGCTAGCAAAACATAACTAACCTTAAAAATTTATGCTAATATTCGATAATCTTGGTTTTTCTTCGTCTAACTTGCAATTTTCCGTACTGAGCCTTTATGCGGAATCGTCTTTTTGCCCTTTTTACGGCTCGAATGATTTTTCCTCACCAGCTCAATGGGCAATTAAGCCCAGTTAGACTTCTAGCGCCTTCGGCACTTGTATCTTCAGCAGAATTGTGTGCGGTATTCCACAAGGCTTGTGTTTGGGACCCTTACTCTTAATACTATACATTAATGATTTTGAGAATTGTCTAAAACGCACGATTCCAAATATGTATGCTGATGATACATGTGTGAATATCGCGTCAGAAAACCTGAATGAACTCCTAACAGATTTGAAAAACGAGCTGGAAAATATATCGAATTGGATGAGGATTAACAAACTTAGTTTGAGCACCAGCAAAGTGAATATATGATTATAGGCCATAGGCGACAACTAAACAAAGTAGGTAATGATTTGCCAGACCTTGTTTTCGATAATGAAGTTATCGAAAGGGTTGACAAAACAAAATACTTGGGGATCAACATCGACGAAAGCCTTAATTGGAGATAGCAGTACAAAACTATCGAAAACAAGCTGAAAGGGGGCTTGAGCCTCTTAAGAAAGTTGAACAACATCCTTTCGCAAAGGAAACTTGATCAAGTTTACAAAGCTCTCTTTGAAAGCCATCTTCGCTATGGCAGCATTGTTTGGAATGTTCTCTCCAACACCAAACTATCCCAACTGCAACGTTGACAGACAAGGGCAAAAAGGCTAATAGCGAATGCCAAGTATAAGGAAGGATGGACTTGCAAATGGTTCACTGTTAAGTCCTTGATCTTCTTTGACCAAGGAGTCATGACATATAGAATCTTGCATGACCTCAGTCCCGAAAATCTTCGCCATAAATTCACTAAAAAATCCATGAATTCAGAGTATAGAACCAGAAACCGTGGAGACCTGCACACAGTGACGACGACCAAACATTACGACGACACATTCTTGACCCTGATGCCACGTCATCATAGACTCGTTGAAAATAAAAGAGCAGCGAGAATTGGAAAATAAGTCAAAGAAAGTGAATATTTATTTGAAGCAACGCAATGTTTTTCATAGAATCATCGTATGAAGAAGATTTCTGCAAAAAGTGTCTGAAGGAAAGAAAGAAGACATTAGAAAAATCATTATTCTAATGTCTTCTCTATTTCCTCGAGACACTCTTTGCAGAAACCGTCATGAGAGGCCCTTGAATGACACAGTACCTCAAAGGTGCAATGCTTATTAGAAGAGGCTCAACATTAAAAGCAAGTTCTGATGGTGCTAATTAGAAGTTGGAACTAGAATATTTGTAAATGGAGAAAACAACCACAAGGAGGCGCCGATTGGACAAAATGAGGTCTAATTTGCATTAAATCAATTTTTATTAGTGGTAGTATAGCAATGATGGTTGGGCTGGCCTGATATTGTAGCTGTTAGTTGGTAACAACTTTAAAGTCATTTTGCTTTGAGCTTTTTGCCTCACTAACAAAATCCAAATCTTTTATGAAATAAAACCAATAGTTTCAAACTTTTCAAATAATGCACCTGGAGGGAGTATAGTTATTGTGACAATTATCCTGAAAAATTAACAGCTTGGCCTCAAAAAGTACACTTTTTGCTTTCTATGATGAATTTTTTATAAGCGGTTACTATAACACTTTTCATACAAGTGATGCACAAGAACATTAGAGGCACTTTAGTTGTCCAGCTGTCTACCAGTAGCAGATTTGTCAGTGTGATCATCTAATACAACCTTAACGTTAGTGACAGGTGTACGAAGTGAAACCGCTGCCCATTTCATTCCAACTTATGGCATTGAAAAGCCATTCGAGTGAGCTATTGATGTAATATATGCCAAAATGAAGTGACACTGGTTAAGGCCTTACTTTGGATTCTGTTAATCATGTGATGATTGAGAAAAACTGCAAAACAACGAGAAGCGCTCCAATTTATAGAAAATAAACAATTCCAATTTGAACAACCAATATATCAAAAGAAAACTAATTATTCTTAATGTCCGTTATAATTACTTTTATGCCGGGACCAAATATATTTTACATAAAATATTTTGCTACGTTATACTATTTTATGCTTCTATTTCTTTACATAAAATAGAAACAACATACATATCTGCTTGCTATTCTTTTTTACAACTTAGAACATTGCAAAATATTTCACTACCAAAATTCTGTCCTTACAACTGACAGATAAACTCGCAGGTGAATTCCACTTATAAATATAGTTTCAGGCCTCAATAGATATTCTTTGATTAAAAAGGAAAGCAATATAGTTGATAAAACTTTATTGCGAAGTTATATTTAATAGGCAGAAAAAGAGCAAGCGGATGTTTTAAATAAGAATAATTTGCTAAGGTTTTGTTGTGGCAAGTGATTTTCTCGAGAATTTTACGGAAGCGCTGAGCTTGCAACATTCACTAAATATTTACCATTTTCCAAATTTCAATTTAAAAAGAAATTTAAAAATAATTTTCCAGAAACACCCAAGTTTTTAACTTGTGCCGTTTGTCTACTTGATTCAATGCGAGGCTTCTATGGTTGAATTTATGCAAATATCCCTGAAACTAAAATGGGGGCCCTCTCTTCGTTAGCTCATGCTGCTTCAAATCGAATTTTCCTCTGATTTATCGTTTTGCGGATGTTATTGTTGTTTGTGTTACGGTTAGTTATTGATTTATTTTTGCGTTTTATTCAAATTATTGCTATATGTAATGTCTTGGCAGAATTTTCCCACACCAAGATCAGCAGAACTGATGTATCAAATAATTCTAGACAATTATTACAGAGGAAGAAATATGGAGCTTTTTGGTTGCCTTTTTGCTTATGGATTTTACTATGTAAATATGTCTAGTCAGAATATGCAAACAGCAAATCTCTTTCATTTTTTTTTCACCTTTTCTTGCTTCTTTTGCTGCATTACATCCATATCAATAGCCAATAACAAAAATGACAAAAATTAAAGAGTTCATAATTATTTTTCTTAATTATGTCCTTTTTTTACTTCATGTCGCTCCCAACTTATCTAACAAAGTTATCAACAATGCAAAGGCTACTTTTGTCTGATGCATCAACAACAAGATCTCAAAGCACCAAACAGGTTCTCGTTCCTTTCGGAGCCTTATGGATCCTCTTCTAGCACTGCATCAGCCAATGCCAACCTCTTTGCATCACATTTTACAACAAACTCAAACCTTGATGGAAAAGGATTACAACCTTGTCGCTCCCCCCCCCCTTCCCCCCTCGTCACAATCAACTTCACCAATTAAGTTTTCACCCGCAAAGTTCGCAAATTCTTCTCTCAATGAATACCTTTAAATTTACCGGACCTGATGTTATACCAGCAATTTTTCTCAAATTTCCTAACAAGAGGGACAAGACTGACCCAGCCACACAGTCCAGTAAAGTTCTTAACGGTCAAATTTTTCCCCGTCAAAACCTTCCTCCAATTTTTCAAGCAATCAACTTGGTCAGGTTGTGGCTCGGTAGTGGCTACGGGATAACGGGTGTCAGACGCAATTAATCGAGACAAAGTTATGTGTCTGGGTCGATGGTAATTATCGCATACGATAAAACTTTGCTAGAATACAAATCACATTACAGCTCAAGGATAATACTTCTTTTTAAATGTCGAATAATAAAATCGATGTAAACATGATAAAATATACATTAAAAGATTTCAAGACCATGGAACACGAACAGCATTCTCTTCTCAGATGCGTTTTCTGTTATTTTTATAGACTATTTTTTTATACATTTTACCACAGTAATTGCTCTCAGGAGATCATAGACATGATCCCAGGTCCCCTGCGACATGCACGCAATACCAAACAATCTTCCAGGGCTCGCCCTTTCCAAACCTCTTGCCAAACGCACGAACTCAATCCCACAGCTCTTCTCTCCTCCGTGGATCTTGTAAACTTTGGAATGCTCTATCCTCTTTCTGCGACAAGCAAGACTGTCAATTAGATAAAGTTTTAGAACGGCTAGAAACTGATGCTCTTATTTTATCAAAATGGTTTCCAGAAAACTTTATGAAATTGAATGCAGGGAAATGTCATCTTCTTACTTTTGGAACAAATCAAGATGACTTTAAGATCAAAATCGGTGAGGCCATTGTTGAAGAGAGCTCTGAAGAAAAACTGCTAGGGGTGATAATAGATAAAAATCTTAATTTCAAAAGTCACGTCTCAAATTTATGCAAAAGAGCCAGCCAAAAACTGCATGCTCTTGCTAGAGTTTCGCCATTTATGGGTTCTGATAAACTGCGTCTCCTAATGAACAGCTTCATAAAAGCTCAGTTTAGTTACTGCCCCCTAATTTGGATGTTCCATGACAGATGTCTGAATGCTAAAGTAAATAAAATCCACGAAAGAGCACTCAGAATTGTTTATAAAGACAGTCATGCTGACTACGAAGCATTGCTGACTTTGGATAATGCAGTATCAATTCACCAACGCAATCTACAGTACTTGATGATAGAAATATACAAAACCAAACATAACCTGAACCCTAGTTTCATGAGTGAGATTTTTGAAACAAGAAATGTACATTATGATTTGCGAACTAAAAATAATCTTTGCATTCCAAAAGCCAGGACAACTTCTTATGGTATAGAAACTGTGAGATATTTAGGTCAAAAACTGTGGCAAACACTACCTCACAGTATAAGAGAGTCCCAATCATTGGCAACATTTAAAAAAGAATTAAGAGCACACCCTATAGAATGCGACTGTAGATTGTGTAAAAAATTTATTGCTGGGTTAGGTTTTATTTAGAACATTATACCTTAAACCTTTTTAATATTGTATCATATATTTTTATTTCATACTAACTCTTATTAGATAGTTGGCCTTAATTAGCTTCTTTATAGCTATCAACCGTTCATTTAGTACGCCAACTTTAAACAAATTATTTATTATTATTATTATTATTATTATTATATATTTCTATTTCCCAGACTTTTACAACCTGTCTTCATTCAAAGAAAAAATAAATAAGCTATATCATTCCTCTCTCTCTGCCTAATCCCCTCCACCAATCTTACTTTTTTTCCTATTAAAGAAGCTTGAGACGTGTCCCAAATTACTTTCCTTATAGCACACGGCCTTTGTCAACATCATTTTTAATCAGAAACTGTTGATTATAACTTCGCTTGAAAATCTAATTTCGCTATTACCAAGTAATCTGCCCTTAATAGTAGATGTCCTTGATCTAATTTAACAATTTTAGCAACGTAGCTCAAAAACGGTATAAAAGCGACTTAACTACGATGTTAAATTTGCAATATAAGAGAACATAAAATTGATTTTTAGATGCTTAAGAAAGAGAGTTGTATAGTAACAACAACAAACGAAATTTGCTGAATTTTTATGTGATTTTAACATTGACACTACATTAGCTTTTGAAAAGATAAATACTAAGAAACAAAATCATACTCTCCTTCATGCTTATGTTGTCAGTTTTCTCCCGCATTTTATCTGGTAAGTATATCGTTTTACCTGATAAATTGACTTTAAAAATAATGTCCTTACATATCAATCAGATAAACGATGCAGTTATAGTTTCAATCTAGAACAAGCCCGAAGAACATCTCACATGAAAGAAAAGAAACAAACAAAAATAACAATAGAAATATATAAAATAATGTAAAAATGAAGAATTAATGTACGCATAGGTCCAAAGCAATATTGAAGTCGTACAGTGCTTAAACACTGCCGTTTTAGTTTTTGTATTGCTTAGAGCCAGTTATGGGGGGATATAATCTCTTGTTCTCCTTATAGAGGGCCCTTTCACCTAGACGGTAAATTAGTTGTTTTGAAATTATACATGTGAAAGGGTTTTTATGAAATTTCCTCCTCCAAATATAGTTTTTTTCGGACTCTCAGTTTAGTTTCCAACATCATTGTGTACTCATCAGAGCCATTAATACCGTTGTTTTGGTGCTATCTTTGGATTCTCAATTTGATAACTTGCAAGGATGTTATTGCTGCTTGAGACACACAAAAATGTTTACTTGCTCCAAGCAAATAAATTTTAATTTGTTTGCTTATTGTTTCTCAGTTTCTTGCTACACGTTTTTATAATAATAAATTTTTCAGCCCAGCCTTCAGACTTTCTTAGCTACTTCCTTTTTTCAGTACTGAAACTTTCTTAACACTTTCTTAACGCAAAATTGGAGGGGTTTTGCGTTACCGAGCATGCGCAGTGGTGGAGAAGATGAAATGCTATAGTCAAGCTATATTTCTCCAAAACACCGTTAATGTCATCACATCAACTATTGAAGAAAACCTAACAAACAAAGTGCAATCGGTCATGCAAAGGAAACCCAACAAACAAAATTGAATAAACTATGCAAGTTTAGCTATTGCTATCAGCAAATAATTTTGACACCGTCCATTTCGTCTGGTTCGTTATTTTCAAATCTATATTTTTCAACTTTCTTTTCTTTCAAAGATCCAGCCCTGAATTTTCTTAACTTTTGAAGAACCGAGAATAACTTTCTTATAAATTACTTTCTTATAAGAAGGTCTATGTTCCCATTTTCCCAAAATATTTGTTTACATGAAGCCAAATGAAAGAACATCAAAATTCGCATCCCAAACTACTTTACATTGAGTTACAGGAAGCATTTTTAGCAATCGTGTCATCACCATTGTTTAGATTTGTTTCGAAACTTGAAGTCTATTTTTGATCAGGAGCATCAAGTATGACGTCATTTGAATGGTAGTTGTTTGCATTTGATCAACTTTATTCTCAAAACGAGTGTGAAGTTGCTTTAAACTTACTTTCTAAAACATTAAAAGATCATAAAGCATTGCAATGATTATCATCAATGATATTTAAACAATATGTTTCGTTTTTTTACGCTCAATGGTCTCCCAATTTTCTATCCGCCTCCTGCGCTCTATTCCAACAGAGCCCAAGCACCCCGTTTTTGGGTGGATGATTGAAGAGAGGGCCTCGGTGACTCAGGCCGTTGTTTTTGAATCGTACCACTGCCTTGTGGTTACGAATGGCTTACAATTTATATTTGCGACAACAATAAGAACTTATTGAAATTCTGATCGAAATCGAAATCCATGCGTCAGCGTCGTTACTCAAAAGAGATTCATATGCCACACACGAGTGTATTTACAACAATAAGGTGTTCATCCGGGAACTAGCCAAGACAATGGTCCCTTTGTGTTCCCTCGTTTCATCTGTAGCCTCATTAGCATTCCTTTGAATATACTGATAATTAGAATTCTTTCATGCAAAACACTAACATTGGAAATTATGGAAATTGGGATAACTGAACGGGAAAGAAGAGGACGCAAGTCAAATTGTCTACAGTCTTAGGAAGAGTAAACAGTAAGCAAAGTCTTGTTTATGTTAACAGTTTGTTTATATATTTAGTCAGGTTATTGACTGACCTGACTGTACCAATATAAGTATGCTTCAAGTGGTTTTTCGGTATGAATTTATCGAAGTTGTTGAGTCGATCAACCGCATAGCCCAAATGCGTACCGACATCTGCTTCTCGACTTGCCCGTATCAGACACTGCAACTTTTCTCAGCTCTCAAGTTTTTACTGCGTTATATAGACAAATCCATCTTGCAACATAAAATTACATGTATTTTATTAACTTCTTGGACCATTTATTTAATCAGAGGTATCATCCACCTTTCGTTTTTTCTTAGCTATACTGAACAAGACTTTGATCTTGTTATGACCTTACGACTACTTCGCCTTGCTCAAAGCAACATCACTGAATATTGTAGAAAATGGCTAATATTTTCATGATAACAAGAGTCGAAACAATCATAGGTAACCTTTCTTTGCTGTCCACTAGAACCTGACTTTTACAGCATGCCTTTAATATTTGTTTTTGGTTCACAAGAAGCTTGCAGCGATCAACTCGACGCGAAGCTGCTTTAATCGCATGTGTTGCTCCTTTGGCCTAATTCTAAAATCTGACTTTCAGAGCACGCATCATAAAAGAGCTCAAAATGCTTAGATCTTTTCATCGTGTGAAAATATAGATGTATCATTCTTCTACATTTGATAAGAAAAAAGAAGTATCGTTTATGGAAGAAAAGTGGTAAACACAATAGCTTCCTTCTTGGTGATGCATTTTGTCACCTCCAAATTGACAGATTTTGTTTCTGCACCAAAGGGAAGAGGTTTGAACATCTCTAGCGATTTGAATGAATCTCCTGAGATTGCGAAATCCATTCTATGATTTGTCACCTGCCAGTCCGATGTTTTACCCAGAAATTTTTAGAAAGGTGGTGTTTAAAGTAAACTGTAAACTTTCTGAAAAAAATGATCAGATCAAGAAAACTAAGGCGGCAACAATCACGACAATTGCGCCAATTGAACCTGATTCTTTCTGCAAGCCTATGCCTTCATAGTCAGAGAATGACTACGATAAATTAGGTTGTTTCAAAAACCAATTTATGGGTGTAGTTTTCTATATCCATCGGTATACGTAGTATACAACTATTTATTAGATTCTCATCAAAGTCGCATCTTGGGATGCAATGTTACGAAATTGTCAAAAGAATAATTGTTGCTCCTGCAACCATGCTTCATTGAAACATTATCTCCGTGTTTCACCAAATATCTTCTTTTTATCTTTTTATTCTTTTCGCTACTTCTGCCAGTATTTTTGCCACTAAACTTGCATAAAGCTGTTTCTACAGGAGCAGTTTACAGTTTTTCAAATGCATTTTAGAATTTGCGGTAGAATATAGTATTTACTTCAGCGCCCATTTTTAAAGTTTAAAAGAACAATGTCCCCCAAATCTGAATTCAATTGTATATTGTGTGTTGGTGCTATATCAACTTACACAAACGCTGTGGCAGAGAAATGATGCGTTAATTTCAGGGTTAAGGTGTTCGAAAGAGTTTGAATTGTGATTGCAAAGAAGAAACTCACAGACTCTTACAATAAATAATATAGCCAATTTTGGAAGAGAACTAGTAAATCAAATTCAATCTGTTTTGCCTAATTTTCCCAAATTTTTAGGCTGAATAAATCGTATTTTTTCTTGAATTTTTCGGGTTCAGTAAGAGAAATTTGGACACAAGGCTAAATTTAACTGCAAAATAGCATTGGATGCGTAGTATGCAGGTATTGGTTTTCAAAAACATTAGTTAAATACATGTATATAGCTGCTTAGAATGGTCTTGCTCAACATTCGCCCACCGAAATAATCTACCGCAAATTAGTATCGAGGAAGTGAACAATTCACCGAAACTGAGACTTACATTTCCGTGGAATATTCACCTTGCAAGCTTCTGAATCTAAAGGACTACATTTTCTATAATTAGCATTAAAATGAGTTTCCTGATGAGAATTAACAGGATGATAAGGTTCAGGGAAATGATTCGTTAGCTGTATATAACTTGTTTATATTTGGAAAGAGGTTTTTGATAAATCATTTCTTTCACCTTATTTAATACTTAGACTATCGTACTAGTTCAATACCTGATTTAGAACAAGCATAATGTATGTTACCTTGCTATTAAAATAAACAAAAAATACAATAAACGTGTTTAGGTTAGGACCAGCCCCGCCGGTCACAGAGGACGGTATGTTAACGTCAAGCCGTAACTTTGGAGTTTCCACAGTGGCGTACAAAGACCTGGTATACAGTCTCTTTTGTTGAAACCAAATAAAAGTATGCTTGTAACTTGCATATTATCCTTAACTTCTATGATAATAGAAGTATATATATTCGATTTTTCTACCATTTTAATTCTGTTTTGTATTGTATATTCTATTTTTTTCTATGATTATAGCTTTTTGTAAGGCAAGTCCCCGCTGACCTAGGTAGTTGATTGTGGGTTTCATTTCCTTGATAACGAAGAAGAAAGTGGCGATATAACATAGTTACTTCAGGTTTACTGCGCTACTCTCTTCCCTTTGCAAGACTAATTCTATAAACATTTCTTATACAGTTTTTGATGCCATAATGCTGTACGTGCTTTGATGTGTATAATTAGGCTGCTATCAGTATTCTCTATAAACTGCATATGGAAGATATATTTGCTAAAGGTAGCGCATATTCCAATGTTCGTTCCTAGTAAATAATTCATGATCAAGAGGGATGAAGGAACCCGTGTCAAGCATCTGCTCGCATTTTTTTCTAGAAAGGTGGTCATGGTTTGAAGCATTGCCTAATTTGTGCATAGTGCTTAGCGACATTGCTTAATTTTGTGGCCTAGCTAGCAACCAAAGTGTTCCTTAGCAGCAATGAACCTTTTAAAAACAATTGGCACAATCAGAATAAAGCTTAACATTCAATACATTCTTAGCTCTTAAGAGCGTTGGAGGAGACTGTGCGGGGTCTATCTCGTTAGTCAGCCTTATGGAAGAAAGGTTTTTTTAACGGAAATAGTAACAATCTAGGCGTTAGATTACAGTTCACGGTTTAACACCTTCTGTCATAATAAAAGTGAATTGACAAGGTTTACAAAACAAAACAGTGCTTCTTTTGAAAACTCAAGTATGTAAGAACAGGCTGCTTGAGCGTGACTTCAAAATTATCTTTAGCTAAGATACAGTAATCAGCAAATTTACTGACACACCACTGGAGACCTTTGATGCACAGAAAATCATCGAGTTCATTTCTTTGGATTTTTACAATTTTATTACGATATTAGCTAATTGTTTTACTTTATAATTATTTTCAAACAAAGATTGAATACGAATGTTGCCTCTTTTTGACTGACTGATTGAAACCAGTAAGTGAGGAGAAGTACTAGGAAAACTAACACTGCAAAGGATGCATATCGTTTTCAAGTCTTTTCGAATTAAAAACTGCGCATGCGCTCAATGTCGTCATTGCTTTTAAGTGTAATCCTGTTTTTACCATTTTTAGATGTTTTGGTCGAAAAGTCTAACACTGGATTTCTTACCAGTGTATATCGCAAGCCTACTTTTACCGGTCAGTACATACGCTGGAATTCATTTTGCCCAAAACAACGCAAAGTCAACCTTGTCAAAACATTAGTACATAGGGCACTTATGATCTGCTCGAAATCTAAACTGCACGCTGAACTGGAAAAACTCAAAACGATCTTCTTGGACAACGGCTATCCTGAAGACGTCATTTTATCTTATACTAAGGAGAAGATCGCAAGTTTTTCGGCTGTTCAAAAGTTTGGTCCGCAAAAGTGCCCAGTTTATTTGAAACTACCATGGATTGGTAACACTTCCTTGCGATTCGAGAGTCAAATTAGGCAAGCCATAACCAATTGTTTCTTTGCTGTCAATCCTCGGATTGTTTACAGCACTAGGAGAGCCCTTCCATCCATTCAAAAGGATTGCGTCCCTACCAAACAAAAAAGTTCCGTCATTTATGAATTTACGTGCCAGTGTGATTCTGGCTACGTAGGGCGCACAACCCAAAGATTGGGGATAGGATAAAACAGCATGTTCCTTCCAACATACGAAACAAAACTGCCCCTCAAAGAGAACAGCCTCCTCGATCTTGTAGGTCTAGAAACACTGTTAAAACAAGTGATTCTGCCATTGGTCAACATCTTTTAGACAACCCAGATTGTGCAAAACTCTATAATGACGACATGTTTCGGATAATTGGCAGAGCCCGGTCGTCCTTCCATCTAGCAGTTTTGGAGTCAATCTACATAAAAACGAAAAAGCCGCCATTGTGTAGACAAAAGGAGTTCGTTTTCTCTCTTGGACTCCATTGGTAATTTTTCTTTAGGCTCACGGCACTGATTGGTCAACTATACCGGTCTTGTGCTTGCGTTTTTCTGATTGGCCTATTTCGATCCACAACTGGGTATATATTTTTCCATCGTGTTTTTTTCGGAACCTATTCTGATGTTTCATGCTCTGAGGAGTGT